TCCCATGTAGTGCACCACACCTAGACCTAGTAACGGCTGAATCCCATGTAGTGCACCGCATCTAGACCTAGTAACGGCTGAAGCCCATGTAGTGCACTGCACCGAAACCTAGTAACGGCTGAAGCCCACGTAGTGCACCGCATCTAGACCTAGTAACAGCTGAAGCCCATGTAGTGCACTGGTCAGCCTCTCCCCTCCCTGGTTGACCTCTTTATGACATTGAGGTGAAGTGTGACTGCAGAGCTGGTGTTCTCTCTCACCCAGCAGAGACAGACTAAATGTAACTATTCATTGGTGATTTACTAAAATTGTCCCAGGACTCCCCAGCCCGCTCAACGGCTGGTACCCACCAGGGGACCCCAAGACCTCTGGCATGATTGAAGCTCAGGTGCTGACCCCAGGCGTACTGGTAACGCTGCTGGATACGCGGCTTGTTGTGAATCCGTAAAACGAGAATGCTCCCTAATCTTGTTTGTTCTTTGTGTTATTTTGACAAATGTTATGTCATAAAATATGAGAGTTGGCTAATACTTGGTAATTCATAGGGATTATGGGTAGTTCAGTTGTAGCTGTGAAGGCTTTCTCTGAGAATGATCTCCCATCCCAGCTGTCATATATCTGACGTTACTCAGCATGTCCTTATAATGATGCTGATGATGATGATGACGATTATTACTAACAACAGGAATTCTCAACAGCACTGTCAGCATGCACTGTCAAGCAGCACGAAGCAGTAGTCACGCAGTAGGTGTCCTGTCCTAAGCTAGACAGGCTAATCAATGCGTTGTATCCACATTATGAAGACTGCAGTTTCACTCCCTACATTGATCCCTACATTTTTGCCTCGACGTCGGGAAACAAAATAAAGCAAATTATAGCGGTGAGGCGGACACGGGCGTCAAACTATGTGTGCGCAGATACGAATATTCACGATACACGTACAGTAAACATTTCATCAAATTGAATAGTTGCATTCGACATATATTTTCATTCTAACAAGCAGCTGTCGCCGTCAGGGTATAATCCTGAAATGCGCGTGATGTCAGAGATGCGAGGATATCAGGCATCACCAATAGGACCAGTTTTCTCATTTAAAATGAATGTATTTCATTCGTCCCGACACATATACCTGTTTTGAATTTCCAGACGTTACCAAACTTTTCAGAGAATAACTCCTTCGTCTGGAGTAACATTTTATCTTCGGGGATTAACGTTACGACAAAGTTTCTGAAACACGCCCCCATGGTGGTGAACACTGCAACAGTACCAGCTGCTGCTTGCAAACACGGCATGAATCATTCGTGAAATAGATTAAATATATCGGACAAATCTCGAAACACACTTACTAGAAAAACAAAGGGCATGCTTAAAAACAGCTGGAAAAAAAACACAGTTGCGCTAAATCAAAGTGTTATAATAAAAACTTATTCTGATCTGCCGCTGTTTTGGACACCCCCGATAGGCGCAGGTAGCTACTGGGGTGTTTATGAGGTTTTATTATTTTGACTTTGTTATACTATTTTACTCTTTCGAAAACCTCCATATACTTGAGTAACACAGACAAATTCTGGACACTGCAAAATTTATATAAGGACCCAGTTGTTTTATTGATATTTACTCGCCAGTATTAAACGACAATTCACCTTTTTTGCAAATAGATGGATTTAAAAGATTCAAAGTCGTTGTTGTCATTTGTGCGAGTACAAGGACTGAGTCCAATGAGACAATTGCGTGTTTATTGAAAACTGGGTAATTCAACACAAGGTAACAAGACATATGACAAACACTTAGGTAAATAAATATAATCATAAATGTGAATGTATATGGAGGTGTACACACGCACATACAGCCGCGGGAAAAATGAAGAGACCACAGCACAATGTTTTGTTTCACTTATTTCTCAATTTATGGCTGTGAATAATGTGTATTTTTCTGCAAACTGCAGCCTTGTCCTTCCCTGTTTCTCATTAATAAAGGGCTTCTTCTTGCTTTATGGGACTAAAGTCCTGCTTCTAGCAGCCTGATACACACAGTCCTAGCAGTGCACTTCACACCTGCACTTAATGTTTCCCATTTCTTTTGAAGATCACTTGATATCGTCCTACTATTCATGACAAACTATCGGATAAGTTAACGGTCATCTCTACCGCCCTTTACCTGACTGGTTTCTGGTCATTCCCAGTGTCGCCTGCGTCACCTTACTCTTGCGTCCTGCTGTCTTAGAAATTTTGAACCTGGAAGCAACCTGCTGCTCAGCGTAGCCTCTGCCAGCAAAACCACGATTAAACCAGGATTTAAAAATGCTGACTTGTTTAAAAATATAGTGTGGTCTCAATTATTTCCACGGCTGTATATTGTAAATAATTGTATTATTTTATTATATATTACTATAGATTGAAGAAACAGAATTCGGAAAGTGCACATTATGCGGAGAATCCAGATGAGTACGTATTCCGTGGCAATTTTAGGAAGGTCTGATTGATTCTGATGCTATTCAGTTTCCAAATAAATAATAACAATTATAAAAAGTTTATTATAGTGCCTGTAAATAACACACATAGGCCTAACAGGAGATGGTTTGTAGTTGCTGTAATAAATGGGAACACGGATTTTTTACGCACGGAGACTCGGCTTAACTGCGCTCCTCCTTCGGCGCGGGAACTTGGCGACCAGGTTTGGCTCATGTTACCTACTAGACCGCAGTGTCGCCTCGATCTACACAGCGTGACCAAAGAAGCACCAGACCCTTCACCTGCTGGACATGCATGCGTATTCACGCCACGTTAACTAAAGCAAGCATATACCCGTACGAAGCATCAGATTTGGGTATGAGCAGAGCCAGATAAACCGCATGTTTAAAGCACTCGTTTTGAATCCGTAAAATAACAAATTGCCATGAAAATGTACATAGTGGTTCTATAAAAATCTTAGTTGGTCATTGTTTTAATCAGCGAAACGGTTAACCAAACAAGCATTAAGTCTCCGAGGTTACTATTTTGTTTCCTTAAAAAGGACAGATTTTTTTCCTGTATTGTATAATGCACAATTTCTTAACACAACGACATCTGCCAAGGACCAATTAAAATGAATTCTGTTATCTCCCTTAAATCAATGGGAACGGTTACTCAAAAATTCTTTGCTTGTCTTTATGTGAGGTCCGTTATATTTTAATTGGAAATGACGAACCTGTTTGCGGCGCTCAGGGTGCGGAATTCCGCATTTTGTCCGTAGGTGTCCTCCGCAGCCGAGCTCTTATCGCTCCCAACTTTCCCTTCGGCTTCTCCTCAGTCACATCAGTTTGCTCGTGGGGTCCGTTTGGGGGCGAGCAGCGGTTCGGTGCGCGATCCCCGAAAGCGCCTTTCAGTCAGTCATGCACAGTCATGTATGAAATGAATGACGGACTGCGCAGGACATAGTAAGTGTGATGCCTTGGAGAAGGGCGCGTAATGTTGCGCTGTAGACTCATATTTTAAAGGGGATCTTACTTGCATGTGAAGATGCTTTGGTTGATAAGACTTGTCTGGGTAACACATACTGAGGGGTGCTGTTTTTTTGAGAAGGGGGGTGGCGTAGCGCCAGTATTTATTACTGGGACAAGAAACGTGACTTTAAACCGCCAGCGTCACGCTGCCACGGTTCCCTCTACGGCTACCCGGCGTCTGTCCCCGCGATGATGCTGCTATGCATTCCGCTTGGAGCCGTAGCCGAAAGATCCGGAAAATGCAGCTGTCAGTAACCCGACTTTGCAGCCGAAGTTTCGCCATGCAGACCAGTGTCCCGAGTCTAGTTCAGACTAGTCCCCGACACTGCCCCGAGGTGGACGGGGTGCATGTGATTTGATTCACCTTGACACGACGGTCAGGTCGCATTAACGAGCGGAGGGACCCCCGCACCTTTCCCCGTTCCGTAAAGAGGGATCAGCGCTTCTCGAGGTTCCAAGAAAAGGCGGCGTGGAGGCTGAGATGACACCGCTCCACAGGAGGCGCTAGGTAGCGGTCTGGATCTCAGGTGTCTGGCGGTGCTTTGGACCTTTCCGTTCAACTGACGCGACATCGTCGCCCGAAAACTGTCTTATTTCATAATTTAACTTAAAATGGTCTCGAACTATGCTGAAGTCACCTGACGACTGCGATCTTCCAACGAAAACAGATGTGCAAATTACAGATTACAGTACTAAATTGTGTGTAAATAGCAGATGAATACTGCCCTGGTTTCCTATTAATGGCGGCTTCTACCTTTTCTGGGGACGTAGGCAGAGCATTATTTGAGAAGCCACCCTAACAAAAATACTGATGATCATTTCATTTCTCAGCAACGTAGGTAAAAATAAAATCTATTTTGCATATAGATTCTGCACCTAACACCTTTATATGCAATATTTGTTTTATTATTGTGTTACCTATGTAGGCCTAGATTCATCCGCAAATTATCTGTTATGTGCTTTTGAGAGTGTAATTTCGTTGAAGCATTTGAGTATGTTCGGTGGGTACTGAGCTAAAATGGTTTTTAAAATGACGAGGGAGCAATTAAATAAAAACCCATCCACCAGGGGAAAACTTTCATAGGTACCAGAACGCCGTGCCGAGCTATTCTGTTACTCCCCCCTGGCGGTGAAAATGGTATATGGCTCCGTTTTTATCACGTGCCTTTGCCTTTTTCGTCTTTTTCATTAAGTTGTTTCAAGCATATAAACTACGTTGAGGAGGAATATTACCCTTTCTGTTTATGTGATCCCGTGTGCACCAGTCAAAAACAGATTAGATTAATATTGCGGTAACTCGTTTAGCTGAAGCCCTGTGATGACAAAGGCTGGGCATTCTGATCCACAGACACAGACAGAAGCCCGGGTCTGGTTTAGTAACTGCGTTAGCATGTTGGTGGGAAAAGGTTGGGCTATATATTGTTGCAGAAAAAAGCTGGGATGACGTAGTTATTCTGCAGAAGGTCGGGCCACCCCAGCTTCCCCCCTTTTTATCCTCCACAGCGAACGGCGCGGATACTGGTCACCGAGCAGTGGTGCAGTTTCACACAGGCACACAGGCTCACAGAGTGAAGATGGGAGAGAGACAGCCAGACTGAAAGGCAGCAGAGAGTCAGCCAGACTGAAAGGC